GGTACAAGCTATGTTGAAGCTTATCGAACTCAAAAATGCTATACATTTGTAAAACAAGGGTTATGGCAACTACATCGTTATTCTGTTTTTATTCGCGTTCAGGCAGGTAAACAGATGATCATCTCTGATTTGGCTTTTATGGTTAAAAATTATTAAAATCATTTTATCTGACCTGTGGAAGAAAACCAGAACGTATTTTATTATATCAATATGGTATCTCGAATAGTCAGTTCAAATTTGTACTAGAAGAAGAAATATCGGCAATTAAAGGTATACATTATATTAAAATCAATTATTTTGTAGCAATGAAAATATTCCAAGCACACACTTATTTACAACTTCTTATAAATATTTAGTCGCATGTGGACCACTTGAAACGAATTATAAACCAACTATAATCTATGTAGTTGTTTAAATGCATCATTATACTCGCTTTTTTCCAATGAATAAGAAAGATTCAGATAGAACAGAAAGTTGCCTTTCAGGCATAGTTGTTGAGTCAACAATAATGCATCCTTTCGAATTTGACTTTTACCTTACAAGTCATTCTAGCTCAATAGGAACTTCACACTCAACACATTATCATATATTATATGATGAAAACCAATTAACATCTGATTCACTTCAAACCTTATCATACAACTTGTGTTACACATTTACGCAGTCTACACATGCAGTTTCTATTATCACACCAGTATACTATGCTTATTTAGCTTGCAATAGGGCTAGATTTCATTCTCGAGGTAAAAGTTGGAGCAATATAGATTCTGAAACTGATAGATCTGTATCAACGTACAGTATAGTAAAGCCTAAATTACAAAAGGTTATGAACTTTATATAAGAAGTTACCACAACACATTATTATAATTATATGTAAAATATTAAAATAAAATTGTCACATAACTTTTATTGTAAACCTTAGCATTAATTTTTAACTTATTTTGAATGAATACATTCTGTATTTTACAAATCAAACATGACATTCTTATATAAATGATTGTAATATTTTAGTTAATGCAGAAGTTATTGGCTTTTATCTTGTTTTATTTCATAGAAAAATATGTAAATACAAGATTAACTGATTAACTGAAAAGTTCATCTCTTACTGAAAATGAATTATTATATTCACATTAAAAATAATTCTGCGCTCTAATATTTTTGAGTTAGACGCTTAGCATAATTGTGTGATGAAAAGATAAAATCTAAAACTTTCTTATGGTATTAATAAACAGAAAATTATCATGCACCGCATCGCAATTTGTAAATTTTCTCCAGTCATTATTTATTAATAGACAGAAAACATATTAAATTAGAATCAAATATAAATGACCTAGTCATTTAAGGTCATTTGTCATTTAACTCATTTACAGTATTGGCCAAATTTAATCTTAATATGAAATTAAAGTTAGTCAAATTAGAACAAAATATTAAGAAAAATGAAGATATACATATAATCAAAATTATAAGATCACATGATATAATTTCTTTAAATGATAAGGTCATTTGTTATTTGACTTTAAATGACCTTTAAATAACTAGTTATTTATCATTTAATCATTGCTATCACTATTTAAAGTTATAAAAAAATTTTAGCACAATACTTGCTATATTGGATTATAAATATAAAAAATTCAAATAAGGCAATTTTTTTTATTTTATAAATAAAAGTAACTAGAGTTATATACAGGAAACTTTGTTCTTCCTGCTTAGTAGTATCAGATATGGCAAATTCTGTAGTCAACTCAATCAGTCATAGATTTTTAATGTTAACTGATCAGCAACTGAGTCGAGAATGATAACTTATAGTATTAGTTTAGGCTTATGCTATTATTTATTTAAATATTTGGTATTAATTGAATATTTAATAATTGATTAGATTTATAATATATTTTTTATTTATTTAAAAATATTTGGATAATAAAATTTATAGTTGAGCCTTTAGTTCAAAATATTTATATTTTTAATCATTGATTAATTTATAATAAAAACAGAAAAATGTAAAGATGCAAGATTTACTTTAGTCAAATAAGAGCATTAGCTTATTGTAATATATAAGATGCAGTCAGTGAAAAATGAAAAATCCAAAATTTTTATTATTACGCTAAATTTGTATATATCCAATTAGGAGTATTAAATGGTCCTAAACAGTCCTAAAAGTCCTAATAAATTTGTCAGTTCTAGAAAAGATTTTTATTTTACTGGCATTATATTTTAGTTTCTAATGATAATTTGTTAATTGAATATAAATTAAAAATATATATTAAACTCATGTGAAAATCCAGAATCTTAATTTTTGAAACTTAAAACCAAATACTAAGAACTGGATCCCACCTTGGCGACCTCATATTAATTGTCAATTTTAAAGTTCATATTTCTTTTATAAGTTATTCATAAAATTTATTATTACAATTATTTATCAAGGATTACTTATTATAAATAAGTGATTAGACTTTTTTATAACTCGTAATTTCAATATTTGTTTACAGTCATTTGGGATCATTTAATATCCCTATGTCCAATAATATTAATTTTGACTAAAATTTGAATTTTCTTCTTTCTACTGACCACCTTCTATTTGCTTAACTGACTGAGAAATTTATTGGTCTAAACATAAAGAAATATTTGGTAAAATTAGATCCTATGCTTTATATATTATGCATTTTACAAGAAAAATAGACACCTATTTGATAATTTTCCATCAATTATGAATGTTATAGTTTTTTTTTTAATTTGAATATAATTATTCTACTCATTATATTGAAAACTATTCTTACTTATTATAAGGATTCTAAGATAATATAAGTCACAATTCTAATAGTATTATTACAGGAAAGAAGCACAATTTACACCTCGAATGCGCACCTGCCATGTTCTTTGAATCATTGTTTAAAAGATTCCCTAAAATAATAAAATATAAGTTAATTTTTTTTGCTTAAATACTTTTTAAAATTTTGCTTAAATAATATATGAAATGATACTCACCAAAAAGTAAAAAAAGTAAAGAAAGTTGGAATAAAGATAAAATTTGTGAGATCCCTATATTACTTACATTAAATTATTTTTAAGATATATTATGTATATTATGTAAACATATTCTCTGAATATTGACAGTAAAGCTTCGCATAAGCCAAGCCTCATGAGCCAGCTTATGAAAGCTTGGCTCGAGTTGCTATAAAATGGTTCACGAGCCGATCAAGCTAGCTCATGCCGTAGCTCAGCTCAAAGCGCAGCTCAGCTCGTCAACTTAGATTTTTCATTTTTGAAAAAAACAATCCAGAAGTATTAACTTCGAAGAAAAATGCTTTTGGCAACGATTTCTTCAAAGTTAAATGATTTCAGAAATGATTCTTCGAAGTTAAACAATTCCAGAAATGATTTCTTCAAAGAAAAAATGATTCAGTAGCATTTTCTTTAAAGAATAACGCTTCTAGAGCATTTTTTAAATAAAATCGCCTTCAGAGCTCTTTTTTAAATGACAACACCTCCAGAGCGTTATTTTTAATTTATAACACTGTTAATCTTAAACAGTCCGTCGTTAAGTTAACAATGATTATTTGCTAACAGGGAGTTTAATTACGTCTAAACTATG